CTCCGTCAGCCAGTGGCGCCGCATGCGCCGGTCGAACTCGCGCCGCCGCTTCGCGAGCATGTCCCGGGGCCTCGCGTTCAGCGCCGCGCCGCGCGCGAAGAGCGATTCCGCCTCCGTAAAATCCTTGGCCTTCTCCGCGACGAAGGCCCGCGCCACCCAGAACAGGGCCAGCTCCGCGCCGATGTTCTTGACCACCATCTCCGCGAAGACGGGCTTCGGATCCGACGCGACGGAAGCCACGCCCAACCACACCCGCACGAAGCGCTCGTCGTTCCGGTAGCGCGCGTCGTCCGCGAGCGCGGAGGCGCACCGCTCCCGGAGCTCTGCCTTGGCGCGGTGGGTCTCGATGTACTCCAGCCAGGCGGTGAGGGGATCGTCGAGCAGCGCGAACTCGCGCGCGCGTTCCTCAACGTCGTCCATCGCGTCGCCGCGCTCGTTCCCCAACGGGTTCGGCGGGGTGGTCGACAGTGCGGCGGCAGTGCGGCAGTGCGGCGCGCGAAGGGGTTTGACGCTGGGTGGTGCGGTCGGTGGGGGGCGGCGCACGGGTGCGCGCAACGCCGGGCGGTCGACGGCGGCGCAGGCGTCCAACCGTGGCAACACGATCAACGCAAGGCGGCCGGCCCCCCGGGCCGCCTTAGGCTCATGAGCCCGGGGGGCTGGGCGTTCGGGCCGGCCCGCCGGGCACCCTGCGGGCCCCGGTCCAGGCGTGGGTTAGTGAAGCGTGGGCATCACCACACTGAGCATCACACCACCGAGCATCACACTCACACCTGGGCATCACACCAGAAGTGGGCATCACACTCGCCCGAGGTAGTCTGTACTAGATGGCTACTACATCATCGGTAGGCGACGTCCCAGTGGATTTCCAACTGCCGCGGCAGGGAGGCGCGCGGCGCGGCGGTCACGATGACGGTGGCGACGACCTGGTAGTCCTTCCGCCAGGGGACGCCACCCCGCACGCGGCGCGCGAGGCGTCGCAGCTGCGGCGATCGTTCTTCAAATCGGACCTCGGCGCGACGACCGCGATGAGCAGGTGCGAGCATTCGTTAAAACTCTCAAAAAAAGAAGTCATCGCCATTGGGCCTCCCCGCGCCCCCGCGCGCGAGAACCCCGCCGGCATAGACGCCGGAGAACGTGTCGGAACAACCGCGCGTCGCCGCAGTGGCGCCAGTCCTCGACCAGACGCCTACCGCGTGGCAGCCCGACCCGCGCCGCCGCCGCCGCCCACGGCCCGACGAGGGCTGCCCAGCGCGCACCGCACGCCGCGGGCGCCACGCCAGGGCCGCGACGAGCGCGACCGGAAGCCGGCACGCCGTCCGGCGCAGCCTCTGGGCCGGGCCATAGCATCGGAAATCGGTGCAGTAATAGCAACGTCCGATCGGGTGGCCAGAAACAAGCCTGCGCGTTTGTTTGACTCCGGGTTGCAGTTTAATCTTCGCCGCTCGGCCCAGGCCAAAACACCGAGCATCACACCCGAAAACACGCGGACCGAGGGTCACACTGGGCATCACACCAACACACCTGGGCATCACACCTGAGCATCACCCGTCCCTAGCGTGGGTCCAGGCCTCGCTCGGTCCACGGCCGATCCAGTTCGACGAGTTCCTGAAGTAGTCGTACACGAGCACAAGTTTAAGCTCCAACCTAGAGCAGGAACACGCGGTCGCGGCGGACCGTGACCTCGAAGACTCGGACGTCGCCGTAGGCGTCGAGGAACGCGCGGAGGGGGACCGTCTTCACGGACTCGGTCAGGCGGAGCGCGCGCTGGAGCGCGGCCCGCGCCTTGTTGAGCGTCGGCGGCGCCGGCGCGTTTCGGAGCTCGCCGCGGAGCGCGGCGACGGCCGCGTCGTCGGCCGGGCCGCGGCGCCACGGCCGCGTCGGCGCGTAGTCCGCGCGCGTCAGGTCCGCGGGCGCGGCCGCGGGCGCCGCGGGCGCGGCGAAGAGCGACCCGAGCGGCGGCGCCGCGAAGGGCGCCGGCGCGGCCGCGGCCGCCGGCGCGAACGCCGGCGCGGCCGCGCTGAGCAGCCCGTCGGCGCGCGACTCCCAGCGCTCGGGCGTCACCGCGGGCGCGGCGCCGGGGGCGGTTCCCGGGAGCGCGTCGCCGGGCGGGGTCACCGGGAGCGCGTCGCCGTCGTCGCCCCAGGCGTCGAGGCGCCGCGGCGCGAGCTCGACGACGTCGCGCTTGGGCACGCGGCGGACGCGGAGGGAGTCAACTTCCCAATAAGCGAGGCAGACCGGTCGTTAATCGGGAAAAGTACAATTACGGTCGCTACGACGCCGGGGACGCCTGGTCTTACCCCGGGGACGCAGGGCCGAAGCCAGAGGCGTCGATGGACGCCATTTGCGCCGTCGGCCCCGGTCCCGGCCGGTCGGCCGGCTGGCCGGCCGGTCGTCGTCGTCGTCGTCGTCGTCGTCGTCGTCGTCGCGCGCGCGCGCGTGGAGATTATAGCGGAGAGCAAGTCCATGGCTTCCTCGAACATGCTCTAGGCCACCTCCATGAAGCTGCGCAGCGCCCAGGCACCGGTTTTGCTCTGGAGCGCCTCCTTGCCGCGCGAAGCGTGAGAGGAAAAATTCGGCGGGATCCAGCGCGCGTAGCGGTCCAGAACCGGCGCAGCTGTACGTGCCGCTCGCGCGCTGCGTGCAAGAGATCGCGCCCTCGCCGGAGAACGAGCCCGCTCCGCGCAGCCGCCGCCGCCGCCGCAGAGGCCACTGCCACAAAGTCGCCGCACCCGCCCCGCGCGCAGCGCGAAGAAAATTTCGACTTCGTCGCTGGCCAGAGCGTAGAAACGACCCTCGAGAACAGGTGTGAGGTCAGGCTCGCAGCGCAGCAAGTCCACCGCGCGCAGCGCGCTGAGATGGATATGCTCTCACTCGGCTGTGGTATTTTTCGTCCGCAGACTGTCGCCGGGGGTTTCAGAAAGGTAAAGTGATCGATTTCGCCGGGGGGCGCCGCCCGAAGCCCAAAAACGTTACTTTACCTCCCCAAAGCGTCTAGGAACCCTCCGCGGACGTAGGATACGCCCCGGGGACGTCTTTACGTGCTAGCGGACGCCTTATTGGGAAGTTGACTCGAGGGCCCGCGGGTGGCGCTC